CACTGCTGGTAGCTTGGAGGACGGAGCCCAGTATGATATTGGCAGCGCCGATGAACATGCCGGCGCGGCGTCCCCATCGGTCCATAATGTAGCCGCAGCCCAGAGAGCCGATGATGGAGCCGACTGTGTAGATGCCTATGCAGCGTATCAGTCCTGACGCGGCATGCACGTGTGTCGGGGGAGGGAAGCGTACTGAAGGTGGCGCCGTTGAGCGTGCCCGTCTTGCCAATCTTGAACCTGTCCTGGAACGGTTCCATGGCGTTGATGGCGCTCATGACGGAGCCGTCGTAGCCGTTCATGACGCCATTGAGCACACAAAGGGCCATCATGCAGTAGAGCTTGACCTGGGACCTCGACTTGTAGTCGGGGTTGTCTTTGGCGACGGCATCGGCGAGAGCCAGCGACTCGACATTCTTCTCCTGAACGCCATGGCGCAGGGTCAGGTCGGGCTTCTGAAGGTCGTCCACGGCGCTGGAGGTCGCCTCGATGTGGTCGAGCTGGCTGTGGTTTTCGGCCTTCATCGTGGACGCGACCGAAGGGGTGTCTGGGTCCGCAAGAAGGTCTGTCGAAGAGGTACGAGAACGGCAAAACAAAGTGCAGTGCGAGACTCGTCACAAGGCGGGGAGAGGCCGATCTGGCAGGGCGTTTTATATAGGCCGTCCCAGCATACCCTCTGCAACGTAGCTTTCGGTTGCTGGCGACTCAGTGACAATGCGCCGATCCTGTCCCCTTGTGACCTGATGCAGGTCGTCGTGATCCTCCAGCGCCATGGTCATGGCCGCCGCCAAGCCTCACAGCAGCCAACGTCGTTGTGAGGCTACGCAAGGACAAACCCCGGCGAGAAACTTCCTATCCTGTCCTTGGAAGGGAGAGAAAGCTCATTGACCCCCACCGAGTCATCCATGCGTGAGCAAGCGCCGTCGCTGCCAAAGGAGCGCCAGAGGAACGGCGCCAATCCAGAGGTCCGAAAGCCCCCCTGGCCAAGGCGGCTATATGTACAGCCGTACGCGGTCTGGGGTTGAGATGGGCTGCTGATCTGGGTGGCAGTGAGGAGGTTTGAACAGGGATGATAGGGTCGGCAGTGTGAGACGTGAGAACGCGGGGATCGGTGGGGGTCATGCGGAGAAGGTCGTGATGTTCAGAGGTGGGAAATCGCCAACATGATGCACATTGATGCGACAAGGAGAGGCAAAGCCGGGGATTTCGGGTCTCGGTTCCTGGCATCTAGACCGAAACTGGGGTTTGAACGTCCGGAGGAACTTCGGCCAGCAGGAAAGATTGAGATTGGCACTGTGAATCCGTCGTTCGAAGTGGGAGCTTCTGGGCATCGGATCGCCGCGAGGAGACAAGGGGGCCTTTCGTCGCATGGTGCGTGCGGGGAAATGGGGCAACAAAATCATGTGCTTGTTGCCCTCTTTCGCCTTGCTCATTCTCGATGCCGCAGCTTCATTTTGACCGAGGAGCGAGAGAGAGTCGGATGGATGGAGCTCGTGGTGATGGTGGTGGGTTGCTCGACTTGGAGGGTGAAGAAGCAGGCAGGCAGGCTGGCTCAAGGTGCGCAGAATTGGCCAATCAGACCATTTCTGTGCCTCGTGTGATGTGGCTCGTGGTCTCTGTGGCTGAATGTGGCTCAAGGTACAAAGGTACTTCCAAACTTCAGCAAAAGTGAACTCAGGATCTTCACCCATCTCATCAACAGCAAAGCCGCCCTCTTACACGTCCCCGGACACTTTCTTTTTTGGGGCTTATGTTCACTTAGTGTCACCATGGCTGCCACAGACAAGCCTCAGATTGGGGCCCATGGTGTGCGCCTCAACAGGGGTCTGGGCATCACGGAGCGCATTGCCCCCAAGATGGAGAGCTGGACTGGCGAGACGCGCGTGAGGTGAGTGATCCGGCTACTGAGTGCCTGGCAGACATATCGTATACTGACGCCTCGCCAGGTTCACCGACTTCCCAGGTCAATGAAGATCCAGCAAGGGATGGCACCGTCGTTCATCTTCAAGGGAGACGGAAGCTCGTCGAGCTTCCCTGCCAAAGTCTGCACCTGCTCCCGCCTCTGCTGCTGCCACGACAGCAGAAGAATGCCCAGTCACCAGGCCCACAAAAGGAGCTTTCCGGTGAATGCACAAGCTCCCCAGGGTGCCTGAGGGCCCCCCATGGAAACGGCACACGGCGCAACCGGAGCCGCGCCGCTCGGCGCTGCGCCTGAGATCCCCGGAGCCCCGCCGCTGCAGACATCCAGGCCATCACAGACATCACAAGCGCCGAATTCGCCGCGAGCCTCGTGGCCATCTACCAGGCGGCCGCCGCCAAGAAGACGATTCCGCCGCCAGCGAGGTCGCCGCCGCTCGAGGACAAGGATCAACGTGGCCAGCTGCACCAGCTCGTGCGCCGCGTCTTCCACTCGCTCATCGACACGACGACCGACAACTCCGACCCGTCCCTCGCCGGCGCCATCATCGTCGCCTCCGGTCGTCCACCACGCCCCTCCAAGGCCTACAGCCAGGCAAACCGCATGAAGACGGGCAGTAACCGGCGCAACGCCAAGGGCAAGGTCAAGGCCGAAGGCGAGGGCGAATACCTCCACTTCACGCTCTACAAGGAGAACCGCGACACCATGGACGCCATCCACCAGCTCGCCCGCGCCGGCCGCGCCAAGCCGCAGCACTTTGCCTTTGCCGGCACCAAGGACCGCCGCGCCGCCACCGCCCAGCGCTGCTCCGTCCGCTGGCTCAAGGCCGAGAACCTCCACGGCGTCCAGGCGCGCGTCCACGGCCTCGTCACGGGCGACTACCGCTACGAGAGGCACCCGCTGCACCTGGGCGGCCTCCTGGGCAACGAGTTTGTCATCACGCTGAAGAAGTGCCACCTCGCCGACCCGGCGTCCGAGGCGCTGCCGGCGGCGGCGCGCGAGGCGGCCATTCGCGGCGCCGCCGAGACGGCCCTCGAGAGCATGGCCTCACGCGGCTGTTTCAACTACTTTGAGCACCAGCGCATCGGCACCTAGACC